TGGTTATAAATAGGAGTAAGACAGGAAAAGTGAGGTAATGAGAAGTCCTCCAGAAAGGGAAATGACTCAGGCTAGAAAAGGAAAGGGCAAAGTGTCCTTCCCCTGAAGTCCCTTCAGTTAGTATAGGGAGAGAATGTACCAGCGTAATCTCATAATTAACTACCAGGGCTTCGAACTTTCCAGAACTTGAAACTTGGCACATCGGCAGGCCACTGCCAGATAGCCTTACCTAACTCCATTTGGGAATGCTTTGGTTTAGGTGAGTCATAATTTTGAAATTTCTCTTAGGTTAAGGACAGAAAGATGTGTTCCGGAGTGAGGGGCTCGTTCCTGTTAAGGGCGGGTAGAAAGCAGTTTCAGGTGTCGCTGAGATCACCTCTTCCTTCCAAAAAAAGATCCGGCAATAAAAGACTAGAAGCTAAACTTAGGAAGAGCGAATCCAGATGAGAAAACAACAGTCTTACATCTTTCAATGTTAGGAGATAGAACCCCAGTAGCTTTTGTTTGCTTGCTTGCTTGCTTGCTTGGCTTCACCTACCGGGGAATTGAACCAGGGCCTCATCCACACTGGACAAGCAGGCTGTCACTCAGCTACAGCTCCCCACACCCTAATAGCTTTCCAACATGACAGGCTTACTGTTAAATGAACTTCATTCAGTACCGTGGCATGAAAACAAGGAGCTGTGGTGAAAGCCAGCTCCACTGATAAGCTTGCTGCTCTTTCTCCTCCTTTGCCCCTCCCTCTGCTCCGTGGTCTATGTTGTTGGTTGTGACTAGTTCCATTGTTCTCTTCTTCGCCTGTCTGTGGGGTTTTTCTCTAGGCCTTGAACACTGAGTAGTTGGTGGCAGTTGGACTTGAGCTTGTTAGGACATTTGCACCTCTTTCTTACTCTCATCCTTGGCCATTTTATTCTCCGCCGTCACTGCTATTGTGGTCACTATTTCATACTTACTATCTTAACATGATAGATGGCATAAGCTCAGACCTATATAAAGTGGCATCAAATCTTATGTGGCATAATATTGAGTATGTGTGTGCAAATGACATTCTCTAGGGTAAGAAATGCTTTGCATGAATGTGCTAGAATAATACCCTTTGTTATTATCATTTAATTATTATCTATCCGGATGGTTTAGAAAGTAGAATAGTGTTTTGTTTGTTTACTTGTTTTAATATCCTTTTACACAAATGGCACTAATCCATTTTGATGATAAAGATTACTTAGTTTCACTGATAGAGAGATAACCACTCTGTCACAGTCAAAAGCAACAAAGAGCAGGCTTAGAGCTGGGGAACCAGAGGAGATATTGTCAAGGGGGTCAGGGGATACAGCAGGGGATGACAAGAAACCAGAATACCTGTGTGCAGCTGGCCCGACCGGTAATGTGTTTACTAGGACAAACCTACCACCTAATTTCAATCTCCTGGAATCTACAAAAAGGTGGAAGGAGGGACCCAGCCCCTGAGCATTGTCTTCTGAGCTCCACTCACGTGTTCAGGCACATACACACACAGTTAACAGTTAAAAAAAAAAAAAAAAACTCCTTTCTAAGAACCAGAGTGAAGGGAAGCATGGGCTAAGCATAGAATCCTGTATCAACAGGAAAGAAGATGTGAGACGCAGAAATAATCCCAGGTGTGATGGTACATACCTATAATCCCAGCACTTGCGAGGATTGAGAGTTCAAGGCCTCTAGGGAGAGCTACCAGGGGAGAGCTTACGTGGAAGGAGATTGGGATCCCAGGGAGGGAGAGGGGGGGAGGGAGGAGAGGAATTCCAGGAGTAAAGCAGTGGGAGAAGAGAACTAATTGCACAAGCCCTGTGCCCTGCTCACTAGGAAAAGAGCTAGTATAAGTATGGTAAGATCTATTTAAGTATATGGAAGACAGAGGCAGAAATATAATGGGCCCAGTCTCTCCTACCCACTTCAGGAGTGGTTTATAACATGTTTATAAACATGTGGTCCCGTTTCCTCTGTACCTTCATCGCTTCCCTTTCTTGTGCTATTCTGAAACTACAAACATTATCTTATTTCACCCATAAACATTTTATTAGATAGCCCCCCAAATTAGACTTTGTGTGTTAGTATAAAATATCAACTGGGTCATCAGAATGACCCAGGCCTCTAATCCCAGCATTCAAGATTTGGCGATGGGGAGGTTACTAGGTCAAGGCCACTGGAGTTGTTATATAGTGAAACTTTGTCAAAAAAAAGTTTCAAACACATTGTACATGTGTGTTTTAAGTTTGACTAAGCACTCACAGTTTTCCTTGGTAATTCACGTTCATAATTTTCTTTAACATGGAGGTTTTCCCACTACCTCAACTTTTCCTTATTCCTTGCAGTGTGTTTGTTGAGGTCATCAAGTTGTTTGCCGACAGTATGATTACCCTTGTCTGGGTTTTGTTTTCTGACTGTCTCTGTAGTGCGTTTTCATATTCTCTCCTGAAGACTGGTAATTGGATACAAGGTGACTTGATTGCATTAGGTCTTTCTTTCATTGTGTTTGATTCTGGGTTTGGGGTAAAACTTGTCTCTTGATTCTAGTGCATTCTTTTCTTGAGACTTGCCTTCAGTTCATGGGTGTGAGTGTTTTGCCTGCACATACGTATGTGTACCACATGCATGCCAGGTGTCTACTGAGGTCGGAATAGGGTCTCAGATCCCCCAGAACTGGAGTTACAGCTTGCTACAAGTCACCATGAGGGTGTGGAAACCAAGGGAGGCTCCTCTGCAAAGGCAGCAGGTGCTCTTAACTGCTGAGCCATCTCTGTAGCTGCATAGTGTCCTTTCAACAGAGGCTTATAACAAACATTTGACTCTGCATAGCAGAGGAGAAATAGGACTCTTTGGGAAACAGGACAGACAGCAAGGCATATGAGCATACCAAGCATATTTTTCTTAAGCCAATTTCGTACCCTATCTTTACATCACTGAAAGGAAATGAATAAAAACTAAGATAAAAAATTATATTAAAAGAAAAAATTCCTTAAGTCAGAAACACACCTACTGAATGCTTTTTATGAACAAAGTGACACACACACACACACACAGAGAGAGAGAGAGAGAGAGAGAGAGAGAGAGAGAGAGAAGGATTGAGAGTGACATGTTTGTCTTCTTGTGTTACTGCATCATGTTATGTTAACATGTAATGTTAAAGATCACATTAGCAAAAATCGTAGGCAAGGTTTACAAGGTGGGGGATGAGGAAAAGCACTTCCAACAGTAGAAGAGGGGAAGGAGCTTCTACTAAAGATGGTGTTCTTCCAGTGAGCCTGAGAGAAGGGAGAGATGGAGGAAGGAAGGATTCAGGGGCCTACTAACTATAGAAACCTGGCAGATGTTGATGATTAGTGTCTATGGAGCTGAAGAAGAGAAAGAAACAATGGATGACTTGAAGCTTCAGTGGGATGTATGGGTGATGGTGCTGTTCCTTGATGTAGGAAAACTACTCGGGAGAGCAGGCTTAGGCTGCAGGGAAGGCACTCCCTTCAGCAACGGGCTGAAGGACTTCCAAGCCAGAGCAGGGGAAGAGGGATTTCCAGACTCCTATACCTCTGAAGGTACGAGACCACTGAGGTACAGTCATGTCTCTGACACTCAGTAGAGAGACCTGGCTTAGATAGAGATTTCACCATGGACGTGACCAATGTTGAGCTATTATAGGGTGTTGTAAGAACTTATGGAATCAGTCACCAATGACAATGTGTGGAAAAGGGAGATAGTGGAAGATGCAAAACTTCTAAGAAGGTATATGTAACAGGATATAGGTAGAGAAAATGGTGGACTAAAGGTAAGTATAGCTCAGCTACAGATATGTTTGTGTTCTGAGGGGCTATATCTTAATAGAAATCATTTTTCAGTTACTTCTATTTTATCAGTAGAACAAAATGCAAGATTATCTGATTTCCTAGGTGAGAGGATGAGATCATTTTTGAGGAAAAGTGGTCAAGGTTTTGAATGGTAAATGGTAAATCAAAAAGGATGACTCAAGAAAGGTGGGCTAGGAAGAAGAGTAAATGAGATCATTAGATGAAGAGCTGAGATTGGAAACCAGTTACGTGTAATGCCCAGAGTCAGAACGGTTGACTGTTTTATACACATTTACTCACCAGTCTCAGAACAGGAATGGGGCGCATAGCTGGCTACATACCGAGAGCTTATGAGTCCTATGTACTGATGCTGCTCTTTTAGCAGAGCTGGGGTAAGCACTGGAGAGGAAGGACACACATGGAGTTCAAGCGTTTGATGGAAGTGAAGCTGGTGTGATCTATTTTGGAAGGTGGATTAAGTCAGGGGTAGGAGTAAATTCTTCCTGTGTATGTGCAAGAGAACCAATCAAATCCTGGGAGAATCCCGGTGTTGAGTAACTGACTACAGATGGGCCTGCTAGTCCCCAAAAGCAATGAACCCATTGAATGTGTCCACAGTGGTGCCGGTGAACAGTGGGTGGCACATGCCTTTAGTCCCAGCACGTGGAAGGCAGAGGCAGGCAGATATCAGTGGGTTCAAGGCCAGTCTGGTCAACAAAGTGGATTCCAGGACAGGACAATCAGACCTGTTACAGAGAGACCCTGTCTTAAAAAACAAAAAACAAAACAAAACAAACAAACAAACAACAAAAAAAAAAGAATGGATGGTGCTGAACTTGAGTTTCTTAGTACTCCTTTTTCTTTTAAAATCCACAGTAACAGCAAAAACACAATATTAAAACCTTCTCCAGTGATGCATGAATTTTAAGTCAGAGCAAATATTAATAAAAAACAATAATTCAATTGCTTTCTTTTTACATTTTTTTATTTTTGAGATTATATTATAATTACAACATTTACCACTTCCTCTGAACCTTCCTGAACAACTTTCCTTGTTCTCTTTCAGACTCGGGGCCTCTTTCTTCATCAATCGCTATTACATGCATATGTCTGTGTATGTTTTCATTTGTAAAATGAGCAAGAGTGTCTACTTTGTTCTCACCCTTTTTTCTTTCTTGTTTTCAGAAATACTATAAGTGAAGAAAATCAAGATGGTGTCATGCACTCTGATGGTAAGGGGTAACTTTTTAAAAAAATCTGAGCTGCATGTTTGAATTAGTCAAATGTCATGGAATCATTTATGGCAGTAGCATCGTTGGTCTATATAGGAGCTCTTGTTTTATTCATGCCCCTATAATCCTCATGATTCATTACCTTCTTTCTCTCACTATAAGCAAACATCCTAAAATACTAATGTGTGTTTGCACATATTCTTCTCGTGTGTGTGTGTGTGATTTATATAAAAACTATGTAATAGGTTTTCTTTTGAGAATACTCAACATAAGGTTTTTCCCAGCCCCTCTCCTCATTACTGGGTACACATTTAGTCCCTTGTCACTAAGTACTAAAGGGGAACCCCACACAGAGGGGGCTTGCTCTTGGACCCTAGATTAGGTCCAGACCACACCCACACACCTGTTTTCACGGAGATTCTTTATTAAGTGAGAAAGAAAAGCTGAAGTGGCAGCTTTCTGACTCAGGCAGAAAACAGCAACTAATGACCTTGTGGGTGTCATTTTTAAGAGGAGGAAAAGGAAGGACCTATTTTAGAATGGGCTAGGATAAGGTGGTAAAGGAGATAGGAAACCAAGGGGAAGAGGCCTGGGAGCTGCTGTTTGCTAGCTAGCTCATCACAGCTTGTTCAGCCTGCTTTCTTATAGAACCCTCATGACTATCATGGTCCAGCAATGGTACCACCCACAATGGGCTGGGTTCTCCGCCATCAATCATCTATTGAGAAAATGCCCTGCAGGCTTCCCTACAGCCTGATCTTGTGGAGGTATTTTCTTAATTGAGGTTCCTGCCTCTCAAATAACTCTAGCCTGGATCAAATTGGCATAAAACTAGCCAGTACTGTCCCTGAACTCTCTTTCTAATCGTCTTGTCCTTCTATGTGTATTATTATGATTGTTCTTAATATTATTGACTTATTAACTATAGCATTATGTCTTGATATCTGATAGAATGTATATTACACCAAACCCGAGTAGTCTTTTTCTTAACTTAGTCATCTTGACTTGATACATGATAGCAAATCCCAGAGAAAGAATGAGCCAAAAAGTATGGAAAATTTGTGATTTTTTTCTCTTGTTCACTTCACACAAGCACATACATCAAATGCACTATGCTTTATATACGGCAGTAAAACATTGCATAAATGTTTTTGACTTTGGCATTATCTTGGGAAAATTAATAAAATAATTCTATAATTAAATTACAAGTGTTAAAACTACCAAGTATCTAAGGCACATTTTTTGTGCCCTAAAGTGTAAATTCTGTTATACTTTGAACTAATATGAGTATTTTATCTAATGACCACATGTTGAAGTACTTCTTAATTACAATGTATTTTTTTTTAATCCTGTAGGTCCTGGAACTCTAGAAGAGGTCAGACATTTTTATTTCTCTTTTTCTATTGCTAAACTTGGAGCATTTAACAATTACTATGACTCACTTTCTATTGTTATCAACAGACAAATAAAAAGTTTTACAAATATCAATGGTATTTTTTCCATTACTAACCTTACTTAATTGGAATCCTTGAAATATTATATGCCAGTTGGTATGCTGACTCACGGTAGTGTAATGCTGAAGTTCTGTCTGACTGCACAGCTAATGACTGAGCAGGACAGAGAATGAAATCTCCTTTGTTTGTTCCTAAGTATGTCACAATTTGAAAAAGAGAGAGTGAGAGAGAGAGAGAACGAGAAAAAGAAAAAGAGAGAAAGAAGGAAAGAAGAAAGGAAGAAAAGAAAGAAAAAGAAAATTTCAAATAAGCCAATTTAGCCTCAAATTATACAAACTCATAAACATTTATTTTAAAAATAAGTTGTCAATGAAATGCACATATGACCTTTTGCAATAATTACAGGTAATAATTATCTGTTTTTCTTGCCAGGAACAAGAGAGTGAAGGAGAAACATACGAAGACATGTATGCATTGCATTTGTTACCATAAGAATTTTCTTCTAAGATGAATACAACATTTTATAAGAGGGAGCATGGGTGTGCAAAAGCACTAAGAAGAAAAGGCTTTATTTACATGTGTGATTGTAATGGCAAATGGAAGTTTCTGTCTCGCCTGGTCCCTCAGCCATTTAGCCCCAAAGAAACACACAGAGGCTTATATTGATTATAAACTGTTTGGCCTATTAGCTCAGGCTTATTACTAACGACTGCTTACAACTTAAATTAACCCAAAACTCTTATCTATGTTTAGTCACCTTTTATCAGTAAGGTATTTTCATCTTGCTTCCTCTGTCTTTCCTCTTCCCAGAATTCTCTTAGTCTGGTTGCCCTGTCTATACTTCCTGCCTGGCTACTGGTCAATCAGTGTTTTATTAAACAAATATGGGTGACAAATCTTTAGAGTGTACAAAACATTATCCCACATGTAATGGCATCCCTTATTTCACTATGAAGAACTAAAATTTTTTAACTCTCCACGCTACATAGGACTCTGGTGACAAACTGCCACGTGAGACCTGCAAGCTACTTGAGAGACAGTCAGGGACTAGACTCAAGAATTTGTATTTCCCCCTCTCAGTATCCTGAGGAAATGGATTCATTGTGTATTGTACCTTCTTCACTCAGACACAGAGGTACTATGGGCTGCCGTTAGCATCCCGATGCCCACATTCTAATCTGCTGGATAGATATGAGAAACAACTCCATGACTCCACAATGGAGTTCAAAGAAGTTCCTTGGAAATTGTGTGAAAATAGGAGTTATCTTAGTCAATCAAATGTTGAGCTCAGGTGTCTTAATTTTCTCTACCTAATTATTCAACCAGTTCTAACTAATCGCTACATCAAAATTAATATGAGTGCTTGTGAACACATGCTCATGCATGCCCATGGAAGTGAGAGTGAGAGAGCTCAACAGGCCATGGGGCTTCCTGATTAGTGCCTTCCCTATGGTACATATTGCAGTGTGGGGGGGGGGGAGCTGGGGCTGCCAGCAAATGTATCTGTGACTGAGAGATTCCTGCTGGCTGTATACAGCATCTCACACACCCAGAATATTCACATCTTTAGCTTGTTGCCCCCACCTCATCTTTAGAGACATTCTTCTGTAGTGCAGTGGTTCCTGACCTACGGGCCCCTGTTCATTGAGCCACAACTTAGCCATTTCTATTCACAGAGAATCATCCAAAGAACGAGACAAGAAACGGGAAAAGGAGGAAAAGAAGAGGTTAGAGCTAGAACGGAAGGAACAGAAAGAAAAAGAGAAGAAAGAACAAGAACTAAAGAAGAAATTTAAGGTAAGAGCTCACTTGCTGAAGAGGAGTGTGATAGCATAATTTTGAAGCTTTTTTTGTAACATTAAAAGAAAATTTACCAAGTTATTTTAAAAACAATGCTTTTTGTTCAATACACCACCTTATCTCTACCATCAAAAATGAAACAGGACAAAAAAAATCCAAATAAAATTTAAGTAGTTTATAATTGGCGGGTACCCAGGGATTTTATGTTGATTGAGGAGATGAATGCCTCATTACTGTGTGCCATGCATCTGGAACCACACACATAGATGTCCCGATGGCACATCACATAGTAGAGCAATGAACATAGTGTTCCTGGATGAACTACATTTCCTTGTAGCTACTAGAGATGCCGGCATCTGAGTATGAACTATACATTTGCCTTTAAGACCCATTTCTAATCTCTTACTTATTTCTAAAAGCTGCTGTCTCTCAGGCTGCTTTAAATGCCTAAATTTCCAACCTCTATCTTTTCTGATCTCTGGTAATTTTGTCACCTCTTTTGCCACCACCATTGCGCTTCATGCATGCTTAAACTTCCTTAGCAATACCATATTTGATGGCATAACCCATCTGGTGTGTTCTGGTGCCTGCCTCTGAAGTATTTGGAGTGATGATCTGAATTACAAAACTGTCTTCACTTTTAAAGAAATTCATATCATTTTATTTAAATAATTACTTCTTTAAATATTTATTTTACTAGAGGATTTAATGCATGGAATTACAAAATATGACTCATACCTAACTTCCCAGTACATTTGTTATGTTAAAACAAAAGTTCAACCTCATGATGCAAGGAAAACATCCAACTTGGAGTCATTTGGATCAACATGGATTCCAAGCCCAGCTGCACATACAAGCTCTGTGCTCTTGGACTTACTACTTATCTCTTCTGAGGTTCAGACTCTTAGTCTTTAGAGTGAAAATAAGTGACATTTTCCTATAGTTTGTTATGGGATTGAATGAAATATTATATAAAAGCCACTATATCTACTATGAGTTTTCACAGTTTTTGAGAAAAAAAAAGCTTTTTTAAGTACAAGTAAAGTTATGATTTCAATGTGAAAACTAAAACAGTTTACTCATGCAGAATGCGTGACTACCAGGATGTATATTCTTCAAGTAAAAAATTAATTTAATTCATATATATATATTTATATATTATACTTTTCATGCAATATTGTTCATAGTTTTCCAGGATTTGAGATTAATTTAGAAAAATAAGTAATACAGTGTTTCACATATTCATTCAAATAATATTGCTAATCACTAAAACAGAATGGAGAAGTCATATCAACAGGTAGGAACTCAAGCGTTGTCAAGTCTGGGACCTTATAAGCTATATCCCACCCAGGTACTGATAGACACTGGGGTTTGTGAAGTGTGAGGTCCATCAGAATCATAGCACATCATAATTCAACTTAGATTTTTCTTTTCCTTTCTTTTTGCTGACATATCCATGTTTATTGACTACTAAAACAAATTCAAGATAATTAAGAAAGTCTGCTCAAAAGCTGACAAGATGATATGTATTTCACTGATGCAGTAAGAAAATGCCAGCATGTAACTAGTTCACATTCTGAACACTGTATGGATTCCAGTCCAGTGCAGCTGCAGATGATCTGTAATTCAAATATTCAAATTACAGATTGTTCACAAACAGAGGCCGACTGGAATAAATCCAGCTCAGCCCAAAACCTTTTTTACTTGGGTCTGCTTTTACTAATAAATTCCATAACTGATATGGTAGTTGGCTATCCACCTATGCTTTAAAATGTTTTTGACGATACATAATTAATATGTCACACAATTGATGACAGCATAGACTCAACAAAATAGCTTCTCCCCCAAAATATCACAATCCATATTTTTTTATCAAAAGACACCTTATCGAAGATACCAGTTTAGCAATAGAAAGTTCACATCTAGGGACTCATGCTTAAGACATATTATACTGCTATTAATAAGCCACCATGCTATCCAGAATATTAGTTGCAAAAACATTGCCTAGTATTTGTTTACTATTTTTGAAGCTATTTCTAAAATGCTATCTTATTTGTAGCAGATAGTATTTACTACAGGTTTATATTCAGCAAATGAAAGTACTGAAGGAAGGAAAGGACAGATGGACGGATGTAAGAAAGGGTGGGCTAGTGCACATGAGTACATACATGGTGCCCTTTGATTAGATGTTTTCTCCAGAGTGCTTACGTTCATCAGATCCCCACCACTCTCTCATGATCCACAGATACATGTTCTCCTGTTCTTTGTTGGTCTCGCTGTACCCCTATGATTTTCCCTTGACTCTTTCACCAGGAATGACAGTTGTGGGATTATTGTCTTTCAAAATTGTATTTCTTAGTGGTTTTCTGTTATGCTTTTCTGTCATCTTGTAGCTAACAGGCCCCATTCAAGTCATCCATCATGCAAAAGCATGTTGTGATGTCAAAGGAGGAAAGAATGAACTGAGCTTCAAGCAAGGGGAGGACATTGAAATAATTCGCATCACAGACAACCCTGAAGGAAAATGGCTGGGCAGAACTGCCCGGGGATCATGTGAGTGCACCTTCAAGGCTTCAAGGGCTGTCTTCTCTCTCTCTCTCTCTCTATCTATCTATCTATCTATCTCTATCTCTATCTCTTTCATTCTCTCTCTGTGTTGTTTCTGTAATATTTTTGATTAGTTCTTTGAGAATTTCATATAACCTATTTTTATCATATTCATCTTTCCTCCCCCAACTCTTCCTAGATTCAACCCCTTTCCTTTCAACCAACTTTGTGTCATTTTGTTTCCTTTTTCTTTTTCCATCAACACCAATTTACACTACCCGAATATTCTTGGATGTGTGGCCTTTCTCTGGAGTGTGGTCTATACCAGGGGCTATAAGCTTAGGGAAAACAGACTCTTCATTCCCCAACAACTAACAATGACTAGTTGCTTCTTGGTTAAGGGGCAGAACTTCATGCCTAACTCCTGACTCATGCTGGGATTTGATCTGGCTGGATCTTGACAGGTGATCTCTGTCATAGCTGCTGTGAGTTACTATGTACAGCTGCCCTGCTGTGTTTAGAGGACAGTTTCCTCATAATCATCCTCCACTTCCAGCTCTTACACTCTTTCTGCTCCTCTTCTGCAATATCCCTGAGCCTTTGGAGGACACACACCACCAAAGGCACTTCATTAAACAAATAAAAAGATGTCTTCACTTGCAATCTTGGCTTACAGACCTCTGCAAAGCCACAAGGTTTTATTTATTTATTTACTTATTTTTTTAATTAATTTATTTATTTATTAAAGATTTCTGCCTCTTCCCCGCCACTGCCTCCCATTTCCCTCCTCCTCCCCTATCAAGTCCCCCTCCCTCATCAGCCTAAAGAGCAATCAGGGTTCCCTGACCTGTGGGAAGTCCAAGGATCACCCACCTCCATCCAGGTCTAGTAAGGTGAGCATCCAAACTGCCTAGGCTCCCACAAAGCCAGTACGTGCAGTAGGATCAAAAACCCATTGCCATTGTTCTTGAGTTCTCAGTAGTCCTCATTGCCCGCTATGTTCAGCAAGTCCGGTTTTATCCCAGGCTTTTTCAGACCCAGGCCAGTTGGCCTTGGTGAGTTCCCGATAGAACATCCCCATTGTCTCAGTGTGTGGGTGCACCCCTCGCGGTCCTGAGTTCCTTGCTCGTGCTCTCTCTCCTTCTGCTCCTGATTTGGACCTTGAGATTTCTGTCCGGTGCTCCAATGTGGGTCTCTGTCTCTGTCTCCTTTCATCACCTGATGAAGGTTATTATTCAGGAGGATGTCTATATGTTTGTCTTTGGATTCACCTTCTTATTTAGCTTCTCTAGGATCGCGAATTATAAGCTCAATGTCCTTTATTTATGGCTAGAAACTAAATATGAGTGAGTACATCCCATGTTCCTCTTTTTGGGTCTGCCTTACCTCACTCAGGATAGTGTTTTCTATTTCCATCCATTTGTATGCAAAATTCAAGAAGTCCTTGTTTTTTACTGCTGAGTAATACTCTAATATGTATATATTCCATACTTTCTTCATCCATTCTTCCACTGAAGGGCATCTAGGTTGTTTCATAGCCACAAGTTTTATGTGCTCTGTCAGACGCTTACTCTATGGTACTTTTAAGTGAGCCAAGAATCAATTTGAAGATTCTAAAGCGATTGGCATAACACATTTCTTCTAACAGAAGTGGAGAACATAATAGCCTTTGTCAAATTTTACATTGTTCCTCACTAAAAAGAACTACATTTGCCATTTTAGACCTTTTTTCTCTCTCTACTTACTCAGTAGGATTCTTTTTCCTCTCTACGTGCTCAGTAGCATGTTCCTAACATGAGGCATGTGGGTCTGAAAGGCTCTAATGTTAATCCAAAAGGAACATATGGCTAGGCAGATCACAGGCTCTAGGAGAGAACATGGGTGTGCGCATGTGCATAGCCTGTGAACCAAACCCAGAGTTTGGGGCATTCGCCGCTCCATTCCCACCCCTAAAGAGAAACATGCAAGAGTAGATGAACAACTAATACTCAAATTATAACTCTAAAGTGTATAAGCTCCGGTTACCTAGACCCTTTTCCCTTTTGGTAGATGGCTACATTAAAACGACTGCTGTGGAGATTGACTACGACTCTCTGAAGCGGAAGAAGAACACTCTCAATGCTGTTCCACCGAGACTTGTTGAAGATGACCAAGAAGTCTACGACGATGTGGCTGAGCAGGATGCTCCCAACAGGTGGGTAACACACAAAGTGTAAGCCGATCACGGAATGCTCTCAATCGCTACACTAAATCACCATGTACCACAACCCTAGCTTGAGTGGAAGGCCATGGGAAACTCCATTGTCTTTTAATTTACTTGTTGGTCACACACATCTTGTAACTTGAAATACAATGGGCTGTACAGTCATGTTAAACATGTTGTCTACTACAAAGCATTTTTAGAATATTTATTATGATTTGGACTTAGGGATATATCTAAATGAGTATGATTTGGGAATCTATGGAGTAGAAGATATGAAATATAGTTCCCTTTTTTTCACCCTTCAGTCTCGGAGTCTAAATGCATTTTCTGTCATTGCTTGAAAATATAACAGAAAAAGAATGGCCTCCCTCCTTTGCTACTCCAGTAGACTCCTTAAAAGTCAAATGTCAGTCTGCTACAATCCCTAGATAATGTCTAAAGGTCCACTTTTCAGTATCTATTTTCTCAACTACATTAGAGCGCCATTTCCTCCTACAAAAATAAGCACAATTTTATAAAGCAGAGGAACAGAAACAGAACATCCTGTTTAGAGCAGGAAACAAAGGCCATCTTCTCCCTCATGCCCATTATTGGTTTCTCATAACTAGACTGAAATACTTGAGATCTTGAACTTATAAAGAGGAAAGGTTTATGGATCACATGTGCTGTAAGTTCTAGTCTGAGATCAAGCCAAGTGCATACACTACATACAAATATGAATAAATTCACGCTACTGATGAAATGAGCAAATGGTAGCTCTGCTCCTAACACATGACGTTCTCGAGGCACTGGATCTGAGACTCTCCAGGAGGAGACACATTCATTAGGAACATCAGCTACCCAGAATGCACTTGATTGTAAGTATTGCCTCATGCGCAGATGCGGCAGGGAAAATAGAAATGAAGATGAAAAGCAGAGAGGGTGCATCAACTTCTCCACAAATCAACTGCTAGAGTGTGGTGCACCAAGCCTTTCTACAAAGTTCCCTTGACAACAGTATGCTTTTGTTTCTAAGTTAACCAAAGATATGCATCAGGCTAATTCCTCCCCCTGGCCTGTGAAAGTAATGTAAAGATTGGTACTATTATACGGTTGTCCTGTATCTTGATAACGTCAAACTTACTGCTGTTGCTGGCACTTTACCCAAAGGTCAAAACGGGGTTGGGGTTGTAGCTAGGTTCAAAGAGGGCTAAGCCCTTGGAGTCTTGGATTCTTTCCTGCAAGATGGTAGAAATGGACAAATAGATAATGTCTAGGTTTTCCCAGTGCCCACGCTTGACTCTCCCATGATTCACACAGGAGATACAGGGCAGAACACATAACACTAGATGCTAAAACAGAAAAGGTTCTATTAGGGAAATAAGGATTTTTTTTTAAGATGATCTGGAATTAGAGAAGTAGGGGACACATCTTATAAAAGTTCCATCAAAGTCACAGCTTAAAAGTTTTTTCATAAAATAAGATATAATGATACCAGATTAAGAGTCAGATACTGTGGTTCTAAGATGCTGAAGAGAGTTGAATTAAAGGCAATAATAATTGTCCTAATTGACTCCTAAAATAACACACAGTAGTTTTTAAAGTAATTTTAAATTTAATGTGTAATTACTGAAAATTGCTTCTTGGGAAGTTTATTAAAAGCATGAGGCATAATTGCTGTGAACTATAGTACCCTAACCCATTGGTTCTTGCTGGTTGTGTATTGGCTATGTTATATTGTCTTGTCGTGATGCATCTACTACAATGAACGTCCTTGCTCTCCAAAGGTTTCATCCAAGTTTTTAAAAGAATGTTAACGTAAACAGTCGTCTCAGTTTTTTAATTTCCCTGCTTGAAAACTGAACAATTCATACATTTATTATTTCTGCTTTGTTCTCAGCCACGGTCAGAGTGGAAGCGGAGGTGAGATGAAAGCTTTCTATGTTTGCAGTCTTGACCATGTTTGAGTATGCTCATGCAAACACTATTTGGCTAACAGTAAGAGGGACTTTTTAGATTCCTATACATAAGGGATTTTAAATACGATTTTATTACTCTATATCCATTGTACATGATACTGATATCTATAAAAGATTTTTGTACAAGTATATAATGAATTTATCATATTTCCCCAACCTTCACCTTTCCTCCTCTTTCTCTCTCCACCCCTTGGTCACCTTTGTTCCCCTAGACAGTTTCTCTTCTGCTTTCTTGTCATACACACATATATGATCTTATGTAGCTATATAAAACCTAAGAACCAGAAATGAAAGAACTAGTGAGGTTTTTTTTTAAAGGTATTTATTTATTTATTTATTATTTTTTATTATGTATACAGTGTTCTGTCTGCATGCATGCCTGCACGCCAGAAGAGGGCACCAGATCTCATTATGGATGGTTGTGAGCCACCATGTGGTTGCTGGGAAATGAACTCAGGACCTCTGGAAGGGCAGCCCACAGTACTCTTAACCCCTGAGCCATCTCTCCAGACTCAATTAGGAGGATTTTAATGTGGAAAAAGGATTTACCGGGAGTCTACAAGCCAGATTCCAGTCCTGGTCACCAAGTGACTGTGAGGCAGTCACTTCTGTCTTCTGGGTTTGCCAGGGATGCTAGCGTGACTCCACTCCCAGTGTCTTGGGAAAGTCTTGGTTTCTACAGACTGTCTGAGCACAGAATAAATAATGCCCCTTGCTTCCAGAACTGTCCCTGTCTAGATGGCAGACTGTATAGCTACCTTGGTGATTCTTGCTAAAGACACAGGCAGCAAAATCAAGAGCTCAGATTCTCACACTGAAAGTTATATTTCAAGGTCGTTTTCCTGCACGTAGAAGGTTGCCAACAAATATACGTTGATATAACAAAGATCCAAAGAACAAAGCATAACAAATGAAACAAGAAAGGGGTCTGGTGTGCCATATATGTATTAAAATGTGGCCTCTCTTTTCAGAGTTTCATTTACTCTTAGTGTTTGTAGAGTTCAATCCATTACCAGCGATAAAGATCAGTCTTTTTTTCAACGTCTGCTAACTGTTAGCTGAATTTTTTCTACTGCCTCCTTACTTCTCTCTTTTCATGAATTTGACTTCCTCTTCTGTCTTACACATTCTCCTATTAATTCTCACACACTCGTTTTACATAAATCCAGAGTACCCATCATCATCACTCATTGCATTATTATGGCTTTTGGCCCTAAAATGTTTTCAAAATAATCTATAAAGCAACTGAATTATTAACTACCCATGTGATGCTGGGAAATTTTAAAGTTTTCTACTTAAACAGATAATATGAAAGCATCTTGCGTTCTGCATCCAAATAGGGGAGAATTAGTATCAAAACCAGAATGACCTATATTTGAACAAATCGCAAAATTGACAAAAGGTTTCTTCCCTCATCCAAATGAAGGTATGTTCCCACCGCCACCACCAGATGACGACATTTATGATGGGATAGAAGAGGAAGAGGCTAATGATGGGTAAGAATAATCACTGAATTGCCTTTTTTCATGCAAAATATTACATCTATGGAAATCTAGTTTTCATTTCCAGATAGGATTAAGTAGTAGAAATTATTGCTTTTAGTCAGTCCTAAAATTGACGGTAAGGGTAAATCAAGAATGATAATTGTATCACACTGTAAATGAAATGGTAGATTGGAGAGAAATCTCAATTATGAAGAAAAAGATGAAATGAAAAGAGGGCAAATTACAAGTGTTGTGAATGTTTTTAAACATTTTCCAATCACTTATCTATTAATCAATAATTTACTTTTACAATCGCCTCTGAAATTTGTCAGTTTAAAAGCCTGGAATGTTTTCTGCATAATGACATAACTATAGCTGGATGCCAGGGCTCACACCTGTAATTCCATTACTCTAGTGGCTTAGACAGAAGAATCACTTCAACCCAGGAGTTCAAGGCCAGTCTGAGCTGGTCAATAAACCCCAGGCTAACCTGGGCTGCAGAGTCAGAACCTTTTGCAAGTACATTGAGACCATTTGCTATCTATGGTATTGAATAGCTAATACTTTGCTTAATATTAAGTATCTTTATTTTGTAATAACAATTTTAAAAATCTTTTAAGTTAAATTTTCTTTCCATTTTAAAATAGAGTATTTAAGATGTAGTAATTATTTTACTTTCATCACAAGTAGACATTCTAAACTTAATTCTAACTGACTTGACCTAGCTTTACGTTTTAGGAACCTAGGTAAATCTTACGGGATAAGTAAAAAATAACCAGCCTGATGAAAGAAATATTCACTCACCAGAATTTATACTTAGTAGCCCCGTATTATTGGCTACAGTAACCTACTTACTGGTCAGCATAGTGTAATTATGTAAACTCTGAATGTCCACACAATGTCTTCGTGGTCTGCTGACTGTCCCATTCTGCTCGATGCCTAATGCTCCAAAGATCCATGCTGCAGGGCGAAGAGAAGACTAACACGTGGTCCTGGGGGATTTTGAAGATGTTAAAGGGAAAGAAAAGTATCCGAGAGAAACCTAAAGTCTCTGAGTCAGACAGTAATGAAGGTTCATCGTAAGAGTCAACTGACCGCCTTCAGTGCACAATAACTACACTAATACCGGTTTAATTGAACGCTACTAATATTGTATAACCAATAAGCACGTCCTGATGCACTTAACACCACTTTACTGATATTTTCCATTAATTATCCTACATTCATCTCATAGTGTGTATTAATCACATGAGAGGACTCCGGTTATGCTGAAATTATCATGTAATTGTAAGGTATTCTTTACTCTCCCTGCAAATTTGCACAAAGACAAACACACACACAGACACATGCACATACTCATACATATTCAAGCACACACAGTCATTCATCAATATGCATGCTACTTAGGATTTCTCCAACCTGTATGACCCCATCTAAAACTTTATTACTATTGCAGCCTACATTTTACATTATACTGACTGCTTTGAAAACTCATTATCTCTAGTAAAGCTAATTTGTTAAACTAAAGGACATAATTTAGAATTTTTTCTGAATATAGTATTGAAATTTTTATAACTGTTCTACAATAGTAATTTATTATCTTAACGATATACCTATATAGGCTCATTCTCAGCATTTCAATTTTATCTAAATAAATTTATCTAATTTATCTAATATATAAATTTTCTCTTCCCATCCATCCTCAAAACAGCCTCTTAATATAAGTTCCATCTATATAAATTGGAAGGATCCTAACCATGGAGAGCCTTTCTGCTTCGCCTTTTGAATGAGTTCATCACATTTCACTGAAATCCTTTTGAGTTGTTTTCACACTCACATTCCTAATTTTATCTGTTTGGGTAGAGCACCAGAATAGTAGTCAATAAACGGTACACTTGCAATTCTGAAAGCACATAGCAAGAAGTCTTCTCTTGAGCGACATTGCTCAAATATGACCTTTACCTGGGGTAAAGGAAGAGACATTTTCCGTCCTCTGTTCACATTCCCAAACTCTGAGTTGAAGATATTTGAGTGAATATTCTCAACTTCTACTTACCGGTTATTTCTGTGCTATACATGAATCTTTCAGAAGTGTGTATGTGTGTGTGTATGCATGTTTGTGTGTGTGTGTGTGTGCACGCGCATGTAGCTGTCATACTTCGGGAAATAATAAAAACAAATGTCCTTTGCTGCTACAACTAAATACCACCTAATCTTGGTTCCCTCCCACTCCTCTCCAGAGCTCTCACTGCCTGGTTGAAATATACATTCCTTTCTTGTTCATCATTGTCCAGTTTGGTGTAGATCTGTGAATACCAGAGAAATGAGGTCACATGCCAGTGACTGCTGTTGATTTTGACTCTGTAATTTCAGTCCTCAATTCAAATAAACAGTTTGGGCCAGACCTATGGACAGCATGAAGCTACGAAATACTGAGTCCATTTAACATACTCTGGTGTAAAAATATGCCCAAACTATAGAGCAAATCTGAAATATTGGTCTAGTGACTCGGTAACGTAAACAATTGTTTATGTTCTGGATGGTTTTTGAACAACAAAATTACTTCAAAACTAGTCTTGGCAAATGTCAAATTGATGGCTAGAGACTAGCAGGAAATGAAGGATGAGAAAGGTATGGTGCTCACCAGATTAACCATTTCACACCTCTAGAATACTGACTCTCACACTTCTCTCACATGTAAAGGGATTAAGTCCAAGGTTCGTGTTAATTTGATTTTAACTGTACTCTCTTCTTTTTTTCAGTTTTCCTTCTCCTCCTAAACAACTGGGTATGTAATAAAACCTGTGTGTTTTACAAATTATTTCTTACACCTGAGATAGTGAAGCATTGAAGGTCACCAAACATTGAATGTACCTGCTTGAAGTCCTGACTGCAAATGATAAATATGTCACATTGCATAAACAATTTCACCCTGAATGATGCCAATGACCCAGTAATAGAATAACAGACTCAAAAAATAAACACATAAAAAAATAAAAAGATTCACCTATCAGATACTTCTCATTGTTGTGATAAAACACCACAATATTTCTCCCAGAAGCAGCATGGCCAGGCCTGTCATAGCATAGCAGTAGAACATCCCTTGGTATCAACGTCTGTATTAGATACTTTTCTATTACAACAGTGCACCTTGGTGAAGGCAAGGAGGCTTGAGCAGAAAAACTGAGGCCTTGCACCTTGAGCCTCAAGTAACAACAGAGAGTGAGCTGGCAATGGTGCATATCTTTTCAACTCTCAAAGCCACCTCCAGTGACAAATCTCACCAAGGCCATACCTGCAAAGCCTGCCCAAACAACAGCACAAACTGGGGACCAATTATTCAAATGCCTGAGACCATAATGTACATCTCGTTCACACCAGCACAGATGGCTTCAAAGTACTAATCTGAAAGCCACTGAGGCATAGAGATAAGAGGCAGGTAATGGACACCAGCGTCAGCTGAGCCCACCCCAATTCAGTCCATGCTGAATATGCACAGTTGCTACTTGAAAGTGTGTTAAAACATGCAAAAGACACATAACCAGACACTTTTGGATAGTCTCCCTCTAACTCTTTAGGGAAAAGGGTAACAATGTCTTCTTTGTACAATTTCAGTTGTCATTTTGAAAATGCTGCTGGAACAGATCTTTTTAAGATTTTTTAAAGTTTCTCTGAATGAAATGTCTCTAAAAACATTGAAAGGCTACTTAAAGAGTTTACCTACTTAAATTCATATTCTTTTAAGTATGCTGCTGATGGTGGCACACACCTTTAATCCAAGCACTTGGGAGGCAGAGGCAGATGAATCTCGATGAGTACAAGGCCAGCCTGGTCTACAGAGTGAGTTTCAGGACAGCCAGGTCTACACAGTGAAACCCTGTTTCGAGAAATGAGAGAGAGAAGGGGGGATGTCAAGCTGGTGGCGTGGCTCAGTTGGTAGCACTATTTGATCCCCAGCACTTCACAAGCCAGGAATTGGGGCCATTCTCATTCAGCCCACCATACCAGTCATGGCATGTTTTCTATCAGTGTTGTTTCTCGTCACTTGATATATATTATCTGTAGAAATAAGATTTTCCTTTGAGGGCAGTACAATTATACTATCACTGTCAGGTGATGAATTAATATGGGACAAATCATTAAAAGAAGATGGTGGATGATAAATGATACACACAGCTAGATGGGTAGATGGGGGAGACCGACACAGAGGAGACCGACACCGAGCTATACAGATAGCTATAGACATAAAGAATATCTTCCTACTTTCTGCTGCCAGTGGCCAAGAGAGTTGACGTCTTCGGCCACAGCTTTTAAGTCTCGCCATTCATCCATTGATTACACTTGTAGGATTTTATAGTCACAGCACTATTCTAGGATTGTTGGTTTTTCCCCTCAAATAATGATAGTTGTCATCGTATTCACTGGTTTCTATTGTTGCTTTGTTCACTTATTGATTGTAAGATAAGAATGTCCCCCTTCCTTCCTTTGAGAAGCAGACAATGCCTTTAATAGAAATATATACAGTCCCTGAGAAATCTCTCACTATCTTGGAAGCAGTCTTTGGGTTTTAATAACATCATTAAATGTTCACATCAAAATTTAAATTAGCGACACTTCAATATTTGGTATTCTGTCTCTTAATAGATGTGGGAGAAGAAGTTTACGACGATGTGGATGCCTCCGACTTCCCTGCTCCACCTGCGGAGATGAGGTCATTAAAACGTTTTGGTTACCATGAAATGTTGACGTGGAAACTGCTCAGCAATATTGGGCTGGAGTAAAACTCCAGCGTGGTGTGTGTGTGTGTCATGTGCGGTCATGTAGTCTCTGCTCCTCTTTGCTCATGCTCTGCTTATTTCTGAGCACAGCTCTCAGCTCAGAGCTAAGTCTGCTAGCAAGTTATCCTTAGCACCCCCCTCCTCTACCCTTCCCCGTCCTTTCTCCTGACCTCAGACACTGGTTCTGCCCCCTGTTCCCTGACTAATCTCTGCTGGTTGCTGGTGACTCACTGCTGTCTGTATTCCCTAATTTACTGGGAATGTATACTTGAGATTCTGTTCACAGTAATTTTATGATTCATCTTCTCTTTTGTTTTTACCCTTTTCCCCAGCATTTTTCCTTGGATGTACTTCTTTTCTATCTCAGCCCTCTTCATTCTTCTCCCCTGTCCTCCATCAATGGTTACAGAATTTGTTGCTTAAAAGGACTTTCATGTATATCCTTTGGGATTCTCAAAAGTTTTATGCACATTTCTATTTTAAGTAAACAGTGATCACTAACTTCAGTTTATCTGAGGTCTGCATTTAACTTTAAGGTTAAAAGCATATGAAAATAAGTTAATATCAGTTAGCCCAAAAGGAGTGCCCTTTGAAAAATTTTCTGAGGTAGAATATAATGTACTAAAATACTTGCTCATTTTTTAATAGTTGTGTGAAATGACCTGTGTACAAAAGCTAGGAAAGTCCAACAGTGCCCTCAAGAAAGAGATGAATGAAAAAAAAATGGTATACTTGATTAGTTAAAGGGAAAAATTTACATTAATAATTTTAGTCATGCCTGCTGAGCTGTACTTAAGAATGCATGAGAGAACTTCAAGTATTTAGTCTCACCACGTTAAGCCAATTTTACTAAACTAGAAACAGTATCAAGATCAAAGAAACTGAAGGCAAAATGTGCCACTGGTCACAAAGGAATCAAGTTCTGCAGGCAAAACAAGCAACACAGATGAAAGAAGACCTCCCTCCCCTTAGCTGTCTGTGACAGGGGAATCTGCCTCCCCTGAGCTGTCTGGGACAGGGAAATCTGCCTCCCCTGAGCTGTCTGGGACAGGGAAATCTGCTCTCAGTAAAGTGTTCATCTTAATAGTCATCACCACCAGGACCTTGTGCCTGACTCTGATGGATTTCAATATATTTTTCATTCTGGAAACATCCCCACATTCCATGAGCTAGCTAGCTCTCCGGGAACCCAGAATCCTATCCTGGCCCTTTTCTTGGAGGAAAACAAACTCCAGCTGATTAAATTTGATCAAAGATGACTTTTTTTCCCTACCCATTGCTTATTTTCAGAAATTAAAACAATTCTATATTTTAAACACAGTATTCTATTTTGGAATAAGTTATTTTCAAAAATAGCTTGTGGAGCATTTTCAGCATTCATCCATGCTCTGATCATCCCAGAGAACTAATCTGGGCCAGCAATTTCACAAGTGCCCAGATCAGGAAAGGCAATAGATCCTAGGGATAGAAGCAAGACTGGAGGTAGAATGGCCCTTGTTCTTTTCACAGTCAACAAGATAAATGCTTAAAAAGAAAGAAAAAAATAGAACCAAACATTTTAAAGAAGCCACAAGCAAGTTTTTTCTAAATAATCAAAATGAAAATACCAGTGTCAAATTTCCACTATTCACAAATATTCTAGTACTTTAAAAACAACAACAACAACAAAAAAAAACAACTCCCTTCTACAGGCAATCACACTTCTTCCTACTCTGCCTTGAACTTTTAGTTCCCAGTGAGCAACTTAATAAAGTCTCCAAGATAAAGCTCGACTATAGACTATATTAGCTATTATCTTTAAGATGCTCCCTTATGACCAGCACTTCCTGTCTTCAGTGCTGCCTCCATTTATTTCTGTAATATTTCTCTGCCGGAAATCAAGTCTAGGGTGTGCTATGTGAATACTCCCCAACTGAACTCCATCTCCTCTCTTATAGCTCCCTTTTAATTAGATGTGAAAACACTAAGTTACATACATTTTATAAGCCATAAAAACTCAGTTCTTTAAAAAAGCATTTTGACCCTTTTTAGTAACATTATCTCTGCCATTCAGCTTTCTACAAAGAACTAGAAAATACACGGGGCTCAAGTACAGGTTTAATTACACGAAACCATGGTATGAAGCTCTGTTTCACCTTATTCTGTTTTATGATGGGTTCAATCTGACCTTTCACCTACAGCTTAAGTCATGTGTATTATTTAATGACGGACCCCTTCTACATGTCAGAAACCTATAATTGATTATAACAATCAGTACTAAATTAAAAACAACATTGAACAAAAATTTATTATTATATGATGGGCATGGTGGCACACACCTTTAATCCCAGCATTTAGAAGGCAGAGGCAGGTGGCAGATGTATCTCTGTGAGTTTGAGGTCAGCCTGGTCTACTTAATGAGTTCCAGTGTATATTGTAAGTCCTTGTCACAAAAAAGAGAAGAAAAATAAAAACAAAAAGCAAACCATTGAAAATTTTAATGTTAAGAATTAAGTCTCAGGCTGGGTGGTGGTGGCACATACCTTTAATCCCACCATTTGGGAGGCAGAGACAGGTGGACCTCTGTGAGTTCGAGACTAGTCTAGTCTACAGAGGAATTTCCAGGACAGCCAAGGCTACACAAAGAAATCCTGTCTCAAAAAACAAAAAGGAGAATTAAGTCTGTACTATGATCTGTTATTTTCTGTTTCTCAAAGTGTTGGTTTATATATGTTCTGTTACCCTAGTCAAGGAATTAATGTTGGAAAGACAAAAACAGAAGAAAAAGATCCCAAGAAGCTAAAAAAACAGGAAAAAGAAGAAAAAGATCTCAGGAAAAAATTTAAGGTATATATTATTTAATGCCATTCAGAGATCAAAGTACTGATGAAAAATTTCAAAATGACAAAGTATATTCTTTTAGAGTATGGTTAACAATACTAGCACTATCTTTCATAACTTTTCTTTGTTCCAAATATGTTGTAAATTTAAATTTATTCCTACAATAAATTAAGCAAGCAAGCATCCATGCTAGTATCCTCCACACTGTGATAACCATTTAAATTTAGATGTCCTTTGACCTTTGGTAAAGTGATAACCTATAAAGTTTTGTCACGTGAAGTTGGTGAGGTTATGAGGTGTCTAGTTGTTGTCTCAAGGCTATGATGAAATTCCCAGATAAAAGCATCTTGAAGGACAAGGGGTTTCTTTGGCTCACAGTTCAAGGCTACAGTATGTCATGGAAAAATAACAGAGACAGGAGCTTGATAGAGCTGGTCTCATTGTGTCTGCAGTCACAAAGCAGAGAGACACGCATGCATACTAGAGTGTACCTTGTTTTCTCCATTTGATACAGTCCAGCATCCCCTGACCAGGGACTAGTCCCACTCAGAAGTAACATAGTTCTTCCTATATTAATTAGCAAACTCAAGATGACCCCCCACAGGCATGTCCAGAACACAAACCTTCTTAATAAACTTGTCAATGAATGAATGACTGTAGTAATATGTATCAGTAATTTCGATGTTTACTTATTTCAGTACGATGGCGAAATTCGAGTTCTCTATTCAACGAAAGTTGCTTCCTCCATAACTTCTAAAAAGTGGGGAGCTAGAGAGCTGCAAATAAAACCCGGAGAATCGCTTGAAGTGATTCAAAGCACAGACGACACCAAAGTTCTCTGCAGGAATGAAGAAGGCAAATGTAAGTCCCCGCTGAAGCCACACTGCGCGACCGACGGTTGGTGGGCTGCAGCGGTCGCTCATCTCTACTAACTTGCTTTGTTCTGCGGTTTATGGGTTGCAGGACATATTAGGAAACTGGAGATTCTCGTATGCTGAAATCAATAAATTCTACTTTAATGTCTATAAAAAGCTTTTGAGATTATAATAGAATTACATCATTTCCCTCCCTATCTTTCCTGTCTCCAGTCTCTCCCTAGTACCCCTGTTGTTGAATTGGTGTGTCTATTTAATTTTATTTTTTGACTTTTCAGACTACATGCTTTTCATAATATTTATGAAATCCCTTTCTTGGCTGGTATCCTTGACCATTCTTAATTTCCTTCACGTCTGATCTATTCTCTACACACTCACTAGGACTTGGAATGGTTGCTGTAGAAACGTATCCCTCCCTCCTCTCAATCACCGCAAATGGCCTTGCAAATGGTATCCATCTTTCCCACATTCTCATCCAGCCCACTCCTATGTGAGCCAAATGTTTTCAAGAGCCCACACTGTCTTTAGGATAGCATATACTAAATGCCCTTCGTCATCCAACCTCACGGACAGCAACTGCAGTTTGTTGTCTAGCACGGACATCCGAAAGTAAAGGACGTGTTTGTCATTCCCTGAATAAATTTTGCTGGTTCATCCCACTGTGCTACTTTATTTGACTTGGAATGCATAACTGTCCATTAAAAACAGCTCAGTGATCATCTTAAATTGGAAGCATCCTTACTCCTTACTCTCCCAGCTACCCAAGGAGGCTGCGTCTCTCCCCAACCACACCACTTTGACTTCTGAGTGGTTTGTTTCATGAATTTGCTGCTCTTCTTAGGCTTCGAGCCCACACAGAACCTCAGTGAAGTGTTCTTGATGTTGGATTGTTGGCACTGGTATAGTGTCTCAAACTTGGAGTTAGACTGGGTAGATTCAAAGGAACACTCTAGATGTCTAGTGTAACAACCAGATGAAAGTCCTACACAAACACTCACATAAACGTCTGCTGGCTTGGCCTGATAAGCACTGTTAGCTTGTGAATCATTAAGGACTCTAAATCTGTTCCTTCCTTATTTTTACATCTTCGCATGACCAGCAATGGGTGTTTTGCAGTTCAGCACCAGCATGACTAATGTTTTCCTCCCTCTCCGTTCTTCTTCAAGCTACCACAGAAAAGGACGCGACCTAAGGCTTATAGCGAGCAAACGAGAGGTTAAAGCACAAAGGACAATCTCTTTGCCGCTCTGTGGAGCAAGAGCCTCAAGTGTAGACATTATTAATTCAGTCGGGTCTCACCCAGAGACATTTGGCAAGTGTGAACTGTGTAGGCAGTGACATCTTAAATATATATATATATATATTTCTGGCACATTCTCAAAAGTTTAAAATTGCTAGCTAATATTTGCATACGTTCTACAATCTGATGCTCATGAGCTGAGAGTTTTCCCACCTCCTGTCACTGGAGAAAACTTCCTACAAAAAAAGAAAGAAAAAAACTGAGGCATGAAAAAGGAGTTATTTGGGCTATAATGTTCTGTTTCCTTTAGGCATCAGATAAAGATTTCTGAGAGCTTTGCTGTCACAAAGCTAGTTAATAATTTCTTTTTTTTTGCTTTTTTTTTAACAAAGCATGCTCATTGGAAAAAAAATTTATTCAGAAACTTCAAAAGTCAGTCTGTGTGAGCACACACCTAAAATCCCAGTATTTGGGAGACTGACTGAGGAACAGCACTTGAAACCAGGAGCTCAAGGACAGCCTGGGCAATGTAGTGAAAACTCACCTCAAAAGTAGTAAAAATTAAATTGAATGAATGAATGAATGAATGAATAAAATGTTTGAAGTCATTATGGTAAAAAGACTCAGAAACAATACAAAGAGAGAGAGAGAAAAAAGGAGAAAGATTAGTTCTTGTGAAAACCAAAATAATAAATTACATTCAGTTTTAGGCACCACTCACTGTGTCTCATTTCCTTTCAAGTTTGACATTGGTTCACTTGCCTGAGCAAGTCCACACAGTACGATTATATGTTTTTAACTGTGGGAGGCCAAATTCAGCAGCTTAACTTTATTTTCTGCAAACACAACACATGCTGTAAACAGGCAATAGATGCCATTTCAATTAAGGAAAAACTGAAAACTACAAAACCACGTTAATTTCTATTTTTTCAAGGCTATTATCTATTTTCTATTTCCTTAGAAATTCCATATTTCTAATGTCCTCTCACGGGTGAGTTGTTAGTCCTGGGACACATCTATCCCATGGCAAGACAGCATTTTAGGAAGAAACTGACGGGCACATATGGGGGATGGGTGTTACATTCCTAGCTGTTCTACCCCACTACATATCCCAAGACATTTGTTGCAGCCACTGTGTTCTGCTCTGTGAGCAGGAGTTTTCCAAATAACAACTTTCTGTGTCATGTGAGAATCCAGGGAACATCAGCTTCCTAATATTGCAAGGCTAAACATAGTGGCCGTTCTGCACCATAACCATGACTTTGTTTTGTTTTGTGGGTTCTTTTGTATTTTCTATTGATATCTCATATTGGTAAGCGAACATGAACCATGTGAACAATGAGAACATTTTCTTCCTGCATAAAAAAAGAATTTCTGGGAACTATACTGCCAAGATTACATGGCGAGCCATGGCAAGTCACTCATTTTGACTCTATCATGAACTGTCCTTGAATAAAATACAGTCTTAGCCCTTGAAAGTGCTAGACAGCAAGACCTATGTGACATTAAAAGTCAGTATTCCTGTAAAAACACTATGTAAGTGGTTTATAGTTAGTGAGCCCGACATCGTCACATGATCAAAAATCTAAAATAGAGTGAAGCAGCCTCATCCTGCATGTGACCACCTACATTGTCATAAATATTCAGTCATTGATACCTCCCTTTCTCCCCTCACATATGTACTGCAAAGAAGAGACAGAGAGAAAGAGAGAGAAAAAAAACAGAATTAAACAATAGTATCTGCAAAGGAATCATCAACAGAAGATAAAGATGTATGCTCTTGAGAGTATAAGAGAATATAGCTTTTAGAATTAACTCATAAAGGTGAGATAATTAGCTGTACATTATTAATTATTAACTTTGACCATGTAAGGGACTGTTAGTAGTGGTTTAACCAGGTCTGCGAATTTTTTTTGCAGTAGTAGGAGCAGCTCAGTCTCAACATGAGACTCTTAATCTCAGGGTCGTGGGTTCGAGCCCCACGTTGGGCGCCACTCTGTTGAAATAGGAGCAGCGGGGCTGCGTCCGCCCACATGGCTAGCTTATGCCCCAAAATAACAACACACAAATTGTATTCATTTAAACACTGCTTGGCCCATTATTTCTATGCTCTTCTCGGCTAACTCTTGCACCTGGACTAGCCCATTTCTAATAATCTGTGTAGCATCAGTCTTACCAGGAAAGATTCTAGCCTACGTCCATCCTGGGCCGGAGCTTGATCTTGTCTGCCTCAGAGAGCAGAGCTCTCGTGTCCGCCCGGGAGAGGGGAGCATGGTGTCTCTCCTCCAGAGAGCAGAGCTGTCGAGTCTGAGCTCACTTCCTCTTCCTCCCAGCATTCTGTTCTGTTTATTCCACCCACCTATGTTTTAACCTATGAGGCCAAGCAGTTTCTTTATTATAATTGACCAATGACCTTCCTCCATCATTTTTTTATCATAATTGTGTTTTAAATTAAAAGTGATTTAATTGAAAAGTAAATTACCTAAAAACATCAGCAAATAATAATCTTAATCTTCAAAAAGGTGGTTAAGTCATCTTTAGTTTTAATTTCACAAACTGTATTTCTCATAATCTTCCTGGGGATATTTTTAATGAAGACATTTAATATTAGAAAAATATTAGTCTTTATCAACATGTCATAACTTGGTGCATATACTGATAAGGCCTGGCAACCTGAGTTCAATCCCTGCAACTCACATAGGAGAGAACAGATTTCTGCCAGTCATCTTCTGACCTCAAAATGATTATATTAAACAAAATAAGCCCAATTCAGAAATACAAATGCCCCATGTTTTCTCTCATATGTAGAACCGATATCTAAATGTGTATGTGGGAGGAAGGCCTAGGAAGAAGAGCATAGGAGGGGAAAGGGGGACCTTGGAGGAAGGAAGGGGGTAATGAAATTCGTGTGTCAAGAAAACAGAAGGAAGACTCTTTGGAAGGAGGGAGGAAATCACCAAGAGAAGGGCAGGAGACACAGGGAAGGCAGCCAGAGGAGGAAAGAGAAAAGACAAAAAATATAAGGATTTATGTGTGAAAATACCATAGTGATGTTATCTTTTTTTGCTGTCTTTAAAAAATTAATAAAAAGAAAAACATAGGTTAGGGGAGGGATCAGTGATAGATGCTAAGGGGGGGGGAAGAATAAGCGTGGGTAATGCGGGCATAAACATGATCAAATTACCCTCTGAGCATGTTCTGTATAGATATAATTATTTAATATATTATCCTTTTAAATATTTTTAAAAATCTGTCTGTGTGGCTGTGTCATGAGTGGGTGCCTGAAGAGTCCAGAATAGGGTATAAGATCCCCTGGAACTGGAGTTATGGGCAGTTATGAGTTATTTGATGTGAATCTGGGCATCAGATTGTGTGCTGTGGATAAGAAGGGGCCCCTTAATCTCTGAGTCATCTCTCCAGTCCCTCGGTATTCTATCTTAATATAATTATTCCCTTGTATGTCAACTTTGGGAACTAGACATTAAGTAACTTTCAAAGCTCTATCTGCAATTAAATATATTTCCTTTTTCCCTTTATAGATGGCTATGTTCTTCGGAGTTACCTGGCGGACAAGTAAGGCCATCATTTTCTTCTATTATCACTGTATTTGTTAAGAGACTCTTCTGGTTTCCTTAAGGAGTCATTTCCAGAATGCCATGGGTTGAGCAATATATTATATTTGTTTCAATATAGTAGTACCAATAACAACGCTGAATATGCCCATCTGAATTAGGAAGAAAGTCTATCTCACTCATGGTGAATAGTCTCATATACTCCTTTAGCTGTCTGTTTAGCAAACCCTGAAGACACACAGGGAAAGCACTACCCTTTCCACTAATTGTTTGCATTTTGTTTATTAATTATTATAGTAGTGGAACAGAACGAGCTAGATCCAAATGGTGTGTGCCGTAGGTACTAATATCATCAGTTAATAGCTCATAGTTTAGCTCCTAACTGAAGATTTTTCTATACTCACACCGAGCATAGTGCTCTCTTCTGTTGCCTTATTGTCAATATGCCCCCTCAAAAGAGATACTAATCAATGACTCTTGTATTCTTCTGAATAAGACCTTTTCACTGTCTGTCACAGCCTGGTACTTGTAAGCCCTTGGATTCCTCTCAAACATTTTAAGATTCTGCAGCAAAACACCCAGAGCAGAAAATTAACCCCACTATATTTGTAAAAACTGACATAATGAAAGAATCAGGGATTCACAACCCGTTTACCATAAGCAGCAGGACACCCATGTGAACAGGGCATTGCATGTTAAGAGTTCTGTCCGCGAACCAATAGAGAGCGGACAGGGAACGGCCTTAACATCTGTGTTTTCTTCAGCATCTATATTACACTGGTGGGCACGGGATATCTGAAAGGCTTTGTTCTAAGAAAGGTGCACATTTTCTGGGAAGAACGTGTCACAGATAGGAGCACATCTTCATCTGTGATGACTTCAGGATGGTAAAAAGAAAACGGAGAAAGGACACTCAGTGGCTATTGGCTCGCTACCTGTTAAAAGGCATAATTCAATAAACATTTGTGAACTAAACAGCAGGAAAATCTGTCCTCTGCATTCACATCAGATTTCCACTAGTCAAATGCTCCCTCAGCCTCAGAGACAGGATCCAAACAGAAGACATAGGGAGCGTACAGCATCTGCCACAGTTGGCAGAAACAAGGGACCTCGTGCTGCTGCGATAAAGCCCAGAGATAGGGCAAGGAACCAAGAGCATGTCCACCCTCACAGCTCTGAAGCCAGGCACTGCATCCTCCATTTCAAGATTATGGTCATAATTATAATATATTTTTATATTGTTTATAAATCACTCATTTGACTATGCACCCTTGAAATCAAAGCTTACATCTGGCTCATAGTTGTCTCCCAGCATATGAGAACAACTCAGTGTTTGTTAATGAAATGTTTCATAAAGCTGCAGGGCTAAGCAAAACCTGAAAGTGTATAAAAGTAGCCAGAATTACTGCAGTGGATGTAATCTTCACAATAAGTAATATAAGAAAATTCTATGACTATATATTCCATAGTTAGTATTTAAATGCTTTAAACTTGATATTTATGCACCATAACTAGGAACACGTGAAAACAAGATAGCCATTTTCCATGTCAAATATATTGCATTCATTTAAAATTTGAAACATTTGAAACTCAAGTAAAGGTGTAGATCTAGTAATAATGACTGTCAAAATTCATTGCACTTTTGGATTGAGGCCCCTGGATGAGGGTTTTGCCTTGGCAGTTCAGTTTGTTTAGTTCTGTACCCAGTTCTTAGGGATTCAGGGGGCCTATGACCTTGGCAGTGCTCAAAGTAGGGCATGATCTGTGCTCTCAAAACATCTGTCTATTATTCGGTTTGTAGAATGAACGAGAAGTCAATAGAGCCAGGGAAAGGAGAGCTAGAGATGGATGTAAAATCTTTGTCCACTTACACATGCACATCATAGCTCGCTTTACCTCTCATGGTTCTGATATATGGCAATCATATTACTGCTAGCTTCTATATATTGATGTTGGGAAGATATTCTCTATACAATAAAAAATGTGGTTTTTCTGTGTTTACAGTGATGGAGAAATCTATGATGACATTGCGGATGGTAAGTCTTGTGCAGCTCCCACCATGGTAACTGAGAAAACAGCTTGCTGACTGAGAGCCATCAGATATGATCAGAATTTGAGTTTCTTTAAAATGTGAGGGAAAGTAATGGTCTGGTGTTGTAGAGAGAGGGAGAGGTTCATCTTCACACACGGTTATGAAATTAAGTGAAAATAAAAGCGTATTTATTCTCCAGAATGAGAAGTATAAGACAACCGTGGTAGTTCAGACCTGTAATCCTAGCACTTGGGTGGTAGAGGCAGGAAGATCAGAAGTTAAAGGGCAACCTTAACTACACAATGAAAGTTGGGGCAAGCCTAGGCTACATGAGACCTGAGTCAAGAACAAGAGAACAGGAAGAGGTAGAAGGAGTGAAAAGGAGTGGAGGGAAGGGAGAACTCTCGGGTAAATTTTGTATTGTAGCATGAGTTAAGAGTTGCTGCGCTTTTTTTTTTTTATCAAAGAAATGCATTTGTAGTTAATAGGTAGCTTGTTTTAAAGCTAACAATATTTATATCACAGCAACCATAATGCCCAAGAAGCTAACAATAGATTATTTTTGCAGCCTATAAAATATGAAATTAACAAATCCTAAATGAACAAATGTAAAGCTGACAAATGCTAAAATCTGTGACTAACAAATCTTTAATCAACAAACAGATACACATTTCATAACTGATAACACTACTAAAATCATCAGGTATTTTTAAATGATGATTTAAAACATTAATCTCAACAAAACGTGTGCAGTTGTCATGTTGCCCGTTAGCTGGTGTGCGTATGTGAATGTGTGTGCTTGTGTGTGTGAGGGTTTGCTTGTGTTTGGGTGTGTGTGTGTGTGACTGTGTGTGTGTTTTGTTTTGTTTTGTTTGAGAAAAGGTCTCACTACACAGCTTCTGCTGGCCTGGAAGTTGCTCTCTAGATCAGGCTGGCCCTGAACTCACAGATCTCCACCAGCCTCTGCTTCCTGACTGCTGGGATAAAGGTGTTTGCCAAAATACCTGGCATCATCCAGGGTTTTATTGTTGTTTTTTTTGTTTTGTTTTGTTTTTTTTACTTCAGTTTTGGCATCAAACCTATTCCCATAACTTGCAAGCAAATGCTTTTCTGATAATCACCTCCCAGCTCCGACCTTTTAGTCTTTAGCTTGAGAAACTTGTCAATGCTTAACTAATTTCATTTCCAAAAAGTGATGTGATGTCAGAATAATTAATCTTCAGTCTCATTTGATGAAGAATAAATTTGTCTAGGAATGTTGTTGAAACTGGGCTATCAATGAAGGTGTCTTAGTTAGGGTTTCTATTGCTGTCTTGAAACACCATGACCAAAAGCAAGTTGGGAAGAAAGGGGTTTATTAGGCTTACACTTCCACATCATAATTCATGATTAAAGGAAGTCAGGACAGGAACTCAAATACAACAGAAGCCTGCAGACAGGAGCTGATGCAGAGGCCATGGAGGGGTGCTGCCTACCCATTTGCTCCCAATAGCTTACTCAGCCTGCTTTCTTGTAGAACCCAGGACAACCAGCCCAGGGATGGCACCACCTACAATAGCTGGGCCTTCCCCCTTCAATCACTAATTAAGAAAATGTTCTACAGGCTTGCCTACAATCTTATGGAGAAGGTTTATCAACTGAGGCTCCTTCCTCTGTGTTGACTCTAGCTTGTATCAAGTTGACATAAAACTAGCCAGTACAGAAGGTGAAATATATCTCATTTCGCTTAACTAGTTTTGTCTTCTTAATATAAAATAAGTAAGTTTTACTTTTTTTCTAAATGACAGGCATAATGACAAGTGCTTGTAATCCCAGTCCTGGGGAGGTAGAGACAGGAAGACAGTCCCTGGGGCTCCCTCTGATTAGTGGCACTGGAACCAATGAGAGACCCCGTCTCAGAAAAAGCACATGGTTCCTGAGGATGTTGCTAGAGATTGTCCTCCAACCTGCACACACACGAACACATACACACACACACACATACATGAACATATAAAAATATTGAGTGAATAAATGAAAGTTTTCTTTTTTCTTTCAGGTTGCATCTATGACAATGACTAGCACTTGGGTCTGTTCATTCTGCTGTGACCAACATGAGTTTTAATTGGAATGTTCTTGGGTATCATAGGGGGAAAAATGAATGTACAAAAAGAAATTTCAATCTCTTTATAAAAGTTTGAAAATTTAAGCTCGGAAAATGAACTCTTTACTATGTCAGAAGATTGGCAGTGAGATATAAGAATTTATCTCCTTTCTTTGTTTTCATTTTTTTTGTGTGTGTGTGCAGAGGAAGGTCTTACTTTGCAGTTCGGGTCATCTTCTGGCCTCAGCCTCTCTAGTGGCTTGAGCCCACATCTGGCTTAAGGATCCCATTTACTTCAGTTATGCTTATGAAGGCACTATTTTTTTTTAGACAACCATTAGGGACTCTTCCCCTACCCTATCCCTTTTTAAAGATATAAAGAAAAAAGAAAGACATCCCAGAGGAAGAAGAAAGAAGACTGTATAAAAGGGATTCTTATTTTTAATCCCATAAGAGAACAACCTAATGATTGTGCTGCCCTTATAGTCCTTGTTCAAATTACCTACCCAGAAGAGGTGAAGCTAGCTTCTCTAGTTTCTGAATGGCAATGGAGCAGCGATACATTAGTCTCGAAGTGTTCCCTCTTTGTTCCCTGTGAAGTCAAGTCAGCCATTCACTCAGCATGCTTTATACTCTGTATGCACATCTCAGATTACCCTGTACAAGAGTCTAAAGGAAGTCTTAGTGTGGGTTCAGGCACACATGGTTGAATCCCAGACTCTGTTTAGATACCATTGTTAACTAGAGAAATAGAGGGAGACAGTTGTGAACACTGTGAGATAGAACCATGATGCTCACTCTCCTTTTATGGTAGCTCCTTACTGTGAGGCCTCTATGAGAGGTTTTGTGTTTTGTGGTCAACTGCTTCTGAAGGACCTAGTGATGTTTACACCCACTTTACTAGAAAGTTGTTCAGCGGAAGGAACACAAGGCAATAAATCCCAGTGGTTGGCCTGGGGCACCCCATTGAAACGCATCCCTCACCACCTCCTCAGGACTGTAAAGCACCAGCTTTTGAATGCTAAGGACATGAAGCACCGAACCAAAACCACAATGCTCAACATCCAAGAAGATAACAGATTAGAGAATTTTTTTTTAATTGGTAAATCCTAATGCTGACTCTCTTCTTGATCATGATGCTACCTTGGCAATATTCATTACCCTCCAGTGTCCTTATAACATAGGATTCAACTACGTTTATCTCAACATTTTCCACTACCAATTTTTTCAACCTTTTATGGTTTCCCCATCTCAGACACACACTTCAGAAGGTTTTTTCTTTTTTCTTTTAAATCATTGATTAAATACTGATTAATATATTGTATATGTAAATTGCAAAGATCCAATGGAATTTCTGAAAAGTGACCCTCCCCCATTGAATTTTTTAAAAGTCAAGAATTGTATGGGATAGAGAGATAACTCAGTTGGTAAAATGCTTGTATGGCAAGTGCAAAGATTGAATTCAATCAACACATCCCAGATGACAATCATGTGTGGTGACCAGTACTTGCAATCCCAGTGCCAGGGAGGCAGAGATCGGAGGACCCCTGGGGTTCACTGGTAAGCCTGTGTATCCTGAGTGGTGAGTTCCACACCAAAGAGAGACTCTGGTCCCAGGAGATGGACAGCAATCTGGATGCTACCCATATATGCCCGCACATGCATAGGAACATGCACACGCAGACTGAAAAATCTGTAAAGTAGCTGCAGGTCTTCAGAAGGTTAGATTCGGGGTTTCTATTAAGTGTTTTGAAATGTTAGAAATGTCAGCTTCTACAGCTCAGTTTATAGGCTGCAGGGCTCTGAGTCTCCTGGGTGGAAAATGACTCCTCTCAGCTAGCCTTTGATTGGAAGTTCCTTGGTGGCATTAGTCAGCATGCTTCCTTGAGATGAACTTCTTTTGTCACGAGATACAAATTTCATGGCTCAAAAGGAACTGTGTGTTAACTTTGGGATCAAATATAGGTTAAATGCTGACTGTATTTCCAGTAATTTTCTGTGATTAAGAGTTGCACGGATTCAGTGTAAACATAAGGCTTTAAAAATCCCAAATTAGATCAAGAGACTATTTCAACTTTGGTTTATATTCAAAGAAATGGACGGATACCTGTGAGAGACTTATGTAATAATTATTTAATGTATATTTGAAGTGTTAATTTTAATATACTAAATGTGATTTTGTTATCGATTGTGTGTGGAATTTTGTCATGTGAGAAGAGTGGCCAATAAAATAAATACCTTTCCAGCAAGTGACCGGCCTCCCACTTCTGTACTCATCAAGGTCATCAGCTTTCCTCTCCCTTGACGTGGTTCTGTCTACAGAAGAGCCCTATCTTCACCATCCTCCCTGTGTCTTGTTCAGCCTCCTATTCCCAGCCACGCTCCCTGCTGCCTCTTGATACATTGTTTCCTATTTTGTCTTAGTAATAGGTAACTAAGTACAATTCTCTCCAACTCCCTGCAACATAAACTTAACCCATGTTCAGAAAACTAAGAGAACAAGACATCATGACCTGAATTCAAAGCCATAACTAAGCGTCCCTTTCCTCCTAACTGCCCTCTGAGCTGCTTCCAATATAAACCATTCATGCCCTTTATTCCCCTTCTACCTCTTCTTCTCTTTCTTATCTCCCCCCTGCTCCTTCTCTTTCCTTCCTCTGTCACATCTCCTCTCTCCTCCCTTCTTTCCCCACTTCCTTTCCACCTTTAACTTCGATGTGAGTAGTTTTCCCTGTATATTTAAAATACATTAGAATATTCCTTAGCTGTAAGAAAACCCGCAATTTTAACTTGAACCCAAATACTTCACCTACAACCCATTTCAACATTCCCTTTCTCATTCCCTTGTCTTTAAATGATGAACTGCAGGCACCAGCTGTTACCACATGCCTCAGATTCTTCTAGTTATTCTGAATTGGATGACCCAAAGGCTCCCAATACTGTGTTTGGGAGAACATCGCGAGGCTTGTATGAAGATCAGGATCCCTACAGGTTGTCCTAACCAGTGACTGAGAATAACAGGGGTGGAAGGCACATACTGACTCTTCACAAAGCAAATCCAGTTGAGGCCTCTGCAACAACCTTGCTAACCCCTCCACAGAGTCCCAACCATCCTACCTCCTGCCTTTACTAGAGCAGGTGTGCCCTGCTGTTACCAGGCTCCTCACCTTCCTGGCTGGCTCTCTCACACAAACCTGTTCCTTCCTGTCCACTGAAAGAAAACTCCTGCATTTTCAGCTCACCTTGGTGTCAGGTTTCCAGGGAAGCCAGACTTCTCTGCAACACCTTCGTAGAAATACCCAGGTGTCTCTCCTGTCCTCGGTGATTCTAAACTCTGCCACGTTGACAATGAAGATGAACTACTACAAGGCTCTTTGGGGACATCATATAGGAACAGCTTTAAAGTGATGGTAGCAGCAGCAAGGTTGGAGCCATCTGGAGACTGAGCACAGTAAAGCTGAAAGATTAGTAAAACCTGTACCTGTTAGGGCAGTGGTGGCGGTGGTGCCTGCCTTTAATTCCAGCACACAGGAGGCAGAGGCAGAGTTCAAGGCCAGCCTAATCTACAGAGTGTGTCTCAGGGCAGCCAGGGCTACACAGGGGAAACTCTGTCTTGAAAATACAAAACCAACCAACCATACAAACAGAACTGTTTCTGAACCCTGGAATAAACTGAATCAGAATTTGGGGGAGTAATTTTGAGAAACATTTTTAAGTAACCCTAAATATAAGTTTGAAGCTACTTTTGAGCATTCCTCCCCCTCCCCCGTTCATCCTTTGTCATGTTCTCAAGATCCACTCAGTCTCCAGACGGCTCCAACCTGGCTGCTGCTCCATCACTTTAAAGCTGTTCCTATGTGATGTCCCCAAAGAGCCTCGTAGGAGTTCATCTTCATTGTCAACGTGGCAGAGTTTAGAATCACCGAGGACAGGAGAGACACCTGGGTATTTCTACGAGGGTGTTGCAGAGAAGTTTATCCGAGGAGGAAACACATTCTGAATGTGGGCAACACTCTCCCTGAAACCTCGGATAGAATAAAAAGGAGAAAACAAGCTGAGCACTCATCTCTCTCTGCTCCCTACCACAGACACACTGAGACTTGACACTCCACCCTCCCGCTGCCACACCTTTGCCACATGAAGGGTGTTCACTGTCTTATGTTCTATTGCTATGGAGAGACACCATGGTCACAGTCACTTTTAAAAGGGAAAACTTTTAGTTGGGGCTGGTTTACAAGTTCCGAGGTTTAGTCATGGTGGGAAGTGTGGCAGTATGCAGGCAGACATGGTGCTGAAGAGGTAGCTGAGAGTTCTACATCTGGATTGGCAGACAGCAGAGAGAAAGCTCACCCTCATTGGCAAACTTCCTTCAACAAGGTCACAAGTCCTAATAGTGCCATTCCCTATGAGCCTAAGGGGGGCATTTTCATCCGAACCACCACATTCTACACCCTGAAACCCACAGGCTTGGTCATATCATAATACAAAAATGCATTCAGTCCAACTTCAAAAGTCCCCATACTGCACAGGAGTCTCAACAATGTTTATAAGTCCAAAGTCATCTAAGTCTCTTCCAAGACGCATGCAATCTCTTAACTTTAAACCCTTGTAAAATCAAAAGGCAGATCACATACTTCCATATAATAACAGAGACTATACATTACCATTCCAAAGGGATGTAAAGGAAGCACAGTGAAGAAATGCTAGACCAAACAAGACCAAAAACCAGCTGGGCGAACTCCAAACCCTGCATCTCCATGCAGGTAGGCGGATCTCTGAGTTTGAAGCTAGGCTTCTCTACAGAGCAAGTTCCAGGACAGCCAAGTTTAGACAGTGAAGGCAACCATCAAAAACAGAATTAGTGAAAATGTCTTTGAACATGGGGAACATGTTCCAGCCCCTGCAAGCAGCAAAACTTAGAAGCTTTGACTACATGTCAATCTGCTCTTCAGATCTCCAACTCCTTCCTTCTCTGTTGACTACAGCACACCTTTCTCTCTTGAGCTGGATCTACTCCCTGGTAGCAGCTTTCCTTGACAGGTATCCCATAACCTGGCATCTCCAACATTTTGGAGTCTCCAGGACAATCCAGGCTTTACCTTAACAGCTTCATGCAATGGTTTCTCAAGG